ATGAGTGTCCGTAAAAACAGAATCTTACACATGCTATAGCCTTTACAGTCACCATGTACTCGGTTGGTCCAAATATTTACAGTTCATTGTTACGACTGCCAAAACTGGCAACTACGGGGTGGTTGTTGTCTCAATTAGGACAGTAAACAGACTGTCTCTTTTTTTAATGAAAAAATTCTAAAATGTAATACTTCACAGTTTAGCATGTTTATGCATTCAAACGAGCTAAAAAATAATGGTGTGACATCTGTTCGCGAGGCACTGGTACCTCCAATTTTGGCTGCCTCCCCACCAGATCGGTTGTTATTTTTAAAGGACAAAGAATAGAGGGAGGTGCTGTCATCAAAAAACGTTCTGGCATTTAAAGTATCTTATTTTTCTGGAAATAAGGATCTCAAGTCTGTTGCTGGTGATAAAAAAAAAAAAAAAAGAATTCAACAGGGAGGCCACTGCAGAAACCAGCAGCAGCCCCACGTTCCCCATGAATGTAGGGACTCGCTGGAATTTCCTCACTGCGACAGTTCTTTAAGCGGCCCTCCCAGCTCCCTCTGCACTCACCTGTATAAGCTAAACCCTGTACGAAACAGTAAGACTGTTTCTGTGGGCGCCGGAAGCATCCGCCACGGCTCTTTACCGTGGGCTGCCGCGGGCCCAGATGTGGCGTCAACGGCACAAACTCCAGCGACCATCCTCCGTCGCGGCTCCACTGGAGCTGCTCCGACAAGTGAAGGCGTGCTGCTGAGGGCGCGGGAAGCTCCCAGACAAGCCTCAGGTGAGCAAAGAAGCCTAACTGTTGGTAAGAAGGAAAGCAACTTATTTTAGATAGTCTCTGGCTCGTGTTACGGAAAAAAAAACATTAAAATTTAAAATGTAAGTTTATAGAAGTTTGCTTCTGAAGTGTATTTATCTAAAGCATAATTTGCACTACTGAATTATCAATGACGATAAATGTTAGAATCTGGAAAACACAGTGCTTTAGCAATCGTATAAACATAAGCATTATAATGAAAATTTAGTTTTATTTTCTTTGGGAATGAAGATGTATACTAAGTTACAATGAAAACATTAAGTATGGCTTAACAATACTAAGATAAAAACAGTGTATCTGATGAACTAGAAAAGAGCAATTCCTCTGTTCCACAGTAGATGTAGTGCTAGTTGTCTTGATATTAAAGAAAACCAGTAAGAAACGCATATATGTCCCAGTACAACCAGTGGCCATAAATACTGAATGTTAAGATTGAGAAACATTGTGATTTTTAAGTTTTATTTATTAAGTGCAAATAATTTTGATCATCCGCTACATGCAAAACCTATGCCAGATTCTGAGGGGACTGAAAAACATTAACTGAAATTTTGACGTGCACTTATTAAATATGTGCGGATCACTGTTACTGGAATTCTAAAAAGGAGTAAGAACATCAGTATCTCGCCATCACTGGTTGGAACGAGAGTATTCCACCTCTATGAAATATTGAAGATAGAAAATCTCCAAGTATTTGGCCACCTTAAAACAGTAACCCCTATGCTGGTGCTAAGTTAGGCTTTTTGTTCATTTGTTTTAAACAGAAATTCTAGATGAGGTTATATTCTTACGTTTCTTCTCAAATGAATTTTACATTCTTTATTTTCTCTGCCAACCCTTCAGGCTTCACTCACACAGGCTACATGGCAAGTCTGTGGCATGAGTTGCAATTTATTCTGCAGAGCATGTTACAGATTCTAACATTCTGAAAAGTCACTATACTTTTTCTCTTTTTGTCTTCTGGATTACTCTGAGCAGTCGATTATTGGAGGGGAAAAACCCATACTTAAAATTTGAATCTGGCACCAGTCTCAGGTTTATGCCAAACACCACTTGCTATTCAAAAGTGCAGTCCCCAGAAACTGCGGGCGGACCAGCCCCTCGTCAAAGAGGGAAAGCAGACTTCGGTCTGGGGTTTCTCCAGAGGATTGGCTGCTCCCCAGTGAGTGTGAGAATGAAATATTTGCACTCCACAGAAACAGTGTTACGTAAACAGATGTTGTCTCACTTTACCTGCTATTTACTAAAGCCAGAGCTCAGCCATTGGGGCTGTCATCTGGGGCTGTCATGAGTCCACAAAAATGAACTAGCCACAGGTTCAGGGTTATTAGAAAACTGGGTCATGAAACTGACCACAATTATACTATGTTTAGACTAATATTTATGACTATCAGAAAGAAAGTTTTTGTCACATAACTGTGTCCTACCCCTAAAACTAATATATTACATATTAACTACACCTTAAATTTTTAAAAAGAGAGAACATTTTTCCCCCCAAAAGATACCTCCAGAGTAGAACTGGAGAGTAATGTTGTTTTTTCCAGGGTAATGAATATTCAAACATTTTCCGAAGGTATAAGCATCTATTTTATACACTACAAATTCTGCTCTCACTTGAATTAGTATCTAATAAAACAATTATTACATATCCTGTCATTTAAATCAACACTGAAATTAGCAATAACTTTATTTAATAAGATTGTCGTTAATACCACATGGGAGGGGAAAGAAGGAAATGAAAATTGTTCACATAAACGTAATAGGAATGGGGGAAAAGTATTTCTTGACATGTGGCACGTCACTTGGGAAAGTAAAAGGCTCATCATATCCAAAATGCCAGCTTGCATAGTCCCCTACCACCCACTTCACAGACAGACATACCACATGGCATTGAACGCTGTACCCTTTCCTAGAAATGCCATTTGGACTGGTCTACTGGGTGAGCGTGTACGAACTCTTGGTCTGTCTCCGAGTTTGTGATTTCAAGGGGAAGGATCCAGTAAGTAACACTGTCTAAATTTTGCCCTCAGATGTTTGGCATAAATGATTTGTGAGGATATTGGAAATTTTGGCTGTTTTCACACCGATGACTAATTATGCTGCTTGAAAACATTCTGCAGAACAGAACGCTGTAGTCACACCCACTATCTGCAGAAGTCTGAAAGAATATGTAGGGTATTTCCAAAAGCTTTCTTCCCTTGGCAAGTATGGAGACAATCTTAACATTTTATTTAGTCTTCACAAATAGAGTGTATATACTACAAAACATTTTGTGTGCATGTTTCAAATTATTCCTTTTCTAAAAATCTTTACATAAGGTAGTAGCTGACAACTCTAACAGTAAACATATTCTTCCATTTTCTAAGCTTTATGTATTCATGTGTTCTAAAAATATGAAGAATTCCATTACCAGTAAAAATACTGAATATATTTGTCATTATATTGTAACAAATGCAAAATAGCTTGAAAAATTATCTAGACAGAAAACTGCATATGCCAGTAATGAGACACATATTTTCTTCTATTTACTTTCCATGAAAGAGTTCTAATTGGTTATCTGTCAAGAGACAAAATGGAATTTTGCAAAATAACTTTGCATTGTTCGGCTTTAAGAGATAACCCATGAAAATTGCTCTGAGTAGGCAGGACTTCCACTGTTACCATTATGTGAAAAAGACTACAATTAAATCACAGATTGCTACTTTATAAAGCCCCAACAAGAGAAGCAAACCGATACCGCAAGCAGCCAGAACATCATTAAAATGGAATTCCAAGTTTATATTAATAGACTAATAAGTTAATTAACACCAAGATCAACTGAGCTTCCTATTTACACCAGTTTAGACAGCCTCCGAGGAAAGGAGCTCGATTTTCGAGACATATGTGGCTCTTTGGCGTCTGTCATCCAGGTGCCATCTCTGACGGAGCACATGTGCACTGAACAGTTGGCATGGAGGAAAAAGATTACTGTAGCTGTATGTGCAGATCGTATCTCTAATGACACAAAATATGCCTGGAAAGAAAGCAGGACTTCTTCATAAAATGGAAAATTTCCCATGACTTTTCATCCCTTCTCCAGCTTTGAATGTGATCTGAGTGTGTTTCTGTAAATAAGGATATATACTTTTACTTCTGAACATGCGTGGAACAAAAACAGATTTAGTAATCGGCAAGTGATGCGGAGTTATACACACAGACTGGTTAAAACATCTGAAGGATTTGGGATCTGTTTTCCCTTTTATCTAAATGCACCGTGAACAGGCCTCCTGTGTGAGTAGAAAGATTTATGAAAGAGTTCGGGAGCATACATTACACCACTTTGCTGGGTGAAGGTTCTTTTCTTGATATACTAGGTAACTCTTTAAAAAGAGGTTTCTGCAAACTGAAAACACCAGCAGAAAAGATGTAGTCGTTTCAGTACTTCGGAAAGCATTGTTTCCAAAAGGTCCTTGTACAAAAGAGTCTCCTTGTAACGCACTGGTTGCCGCTCGGCTACTCTTCGTCAGGTTCCAGATCAGGGTCGCCATCTGCGGACAGTCTGAGATAAAAGAAAGCATAGAAAGCCAGCAGGAGGGCGGATATGGCTGCAAGGATAAGGCCCACTTCCTGGGGAAGAAACAAAAAGCAGACTTGAAGTTGATAAAGTGAGATTGGGGAGTGTGACCAGTTTCATCAGATAAAATAACCACATAATTCCAGTCTAGAATGAACACTTTGAAAGTAACAACGCATTCATTTTAACACTTTTTGGCATTAAGGAGCATATTTTGAGTGTCATTTCTATTGTTATTTTTATTTATTTGTGTTTCACTAATAGCAAAATTAACATTTATACTTTTAAATACATTTTCATAGCTCGGATATCAAACTGTTGGGGACAAGCAATGTAGGTTGTTTCCCACAAGGCTTATCTGCTCGCTCCCTGCTTGTGTTTAATTCTACTTCTTGCTTCAGTAAGTTTAGTTAGTTACAGCACCTAGGCACAGATCTTTTAAAAAAAGTATTTCTTTTCTAGTGGGAAGAAGCTAGATTATGCCTCTTAAGCACCTTTACTAAGCCTTAACTTCCGTATTCTGACTCCTACGGTAACAGAGGGGCGCCGGGCGCGGAGAGGCCCTGAGGGTGGGGCGAGCGGGCGACACGAGCCACTTAGAGGCCGCAGGCGCTCAGGGCTCCGCCCCGGCCCGGTTACTTTTAAATCAGAAATAAAAACGAATAAAAAATGAAATATTTCCAGCTGGCTCATCGGAAGGATGTTAGAAGGATCTGGTTGACACTGGAATATTTTATTTCCACAAAAGAGAAGTTTTGGTCCTAAACTTTTTATTTTATTATGATTACACCTGTCAACTAAACCTTCTGAATAAACTAACAAATTCAGACAACCTTTTCCTTCTGAGCCCTAGGATGCAGATAGTGCCGTCCCAAAGGCACTTCCGGTGGCTCTGTAACCCCTGAAGCAGTGTCGCGGCGGCAGGCAGGCGGCAGGCCTCGCCAGGGGCGCCCCG